AGCTCACTGTTTTCATGCTCTTTCCATCACTGCAGTACCAGACAACTGAAATAACTGTTCCAAATATCAGTGTCTTTTGATACTTTGCATTTCTATTCTGAGAAAATATCCAAGCAAATATGAATATAACCAAAGTAAATTCTTTCTCTCTGAACTCAGAATGACTATTTAACTAGCTTTAATATTTTGATACCCAGTACTGAGTTTCACCTGCTGTCCCTTTGCATACAGGTGATGGCCTAAGAAGGTTAGACTGTCTGTTGGGGTTGGAAAAAAAAAAAGAGTAAAACAGTGTGGTTGAAAACCCTCTGCTTTGTTAGAAAGTTCTGGAGGACTTCTGTATTTTGTTTTGAATGTTGACAGTGTTTGTAAGTTTGCCCATAATCTCAGTGCTGAAATTGAGTCTTAATCTCTTTACACTTTTAGAGTTGTCTGATCCCCACTTCCCTCTTCCTCGTTCCCTACAGTCCTCATAGTTTATACATTCTTAAGCTGGCTGTCTAGCTTGCAGTGCTTAGGTTGTTTGTAAGTATCATGGCAGATGTGTTTTATGAATGTTTATACCTTGGGAACTGCAAGAAGTATTTCTGAATATCAGTGTTAAAACACAGCACATTTTTTTTACTTTCTGTGGCTTCACAGCAGGCTTACCAAAGTAAGAAATCAACTTATGTGAATATATTTCCAATTGTCTACCTTTTACCTATTTCTTGAAAGTTTTAATAAATTAATTTCAACCTACTTGTGTCTTTCTGTGAAACTGGAAAAACCTATTTTGCAGTTTACGCTGTCTGCTCTCCTCTGTTTGTTCCTACCAGAGTCATCGTTCCAACAAGTGTTCACACCTCATTCTTTCCCTCAGAATCAGGATTTTGCTAGTTGGTTACAGCTTATTTGGGTTTCTCAGATCAGGGAAGAAAAAGTTTTGCTCCATTAGTTCCGAAACAACTAGTTCAGATACCAGAAACACTTCAGTGGCCTTAGATCAGATCTCAAGACTGGTTTTTCCTTGTTTAGGCCTATTTCAGGCATCCAGATGTTTCATACCATTATTGCACTCTGGTGAAAAACAGGTGCTTGCTGTATTTATACAGCCCTCTGTTTTAAAATATTGTACTGCCAGCTGTTCAGGTATATGTAGTGTATACTTGAACTCATAAAAAATGCCACAAAATCATTAGCAGCATCATCTGAAGAAAAAAATAATTTTAGCATAATGTCTTGCTTGAGCCAACATAACAGAATGGGCAGTACAGATGTTTACATGAATGTGTACCTCATGTAACAGAAGCAAAAAAAGATCAGAATAGAAGTCCATGCAAATCTGAACCTTAATTTGTTTCGTTCTGCCTTAGCCTGTGGCCGTGGGTTCTACAAATCCTCCTCACAAGATCTGCAGTGCTCCCGCTGCCCTACTCACAGCTTCTCTGACAAGGAAGGATCTTCAAGATGTGACTGTGAAGATAGCTATTATAGAGCACCTTCTGATCCACCATATGTCGCATGCACAAGTGAGTGAGTCATGAATTTAATAGTAAGGGACGTTGCTTAACCAACCAGGTGCAGCGACTTGCAGTGAGTAGTTTTGTCTGACTTTTCCTGTGTTTGAAAAGTACCTTTGCAACAGTAAATGAAATTGAAAAGCAGAGGGAAAAAGAGTTGACAGTGAATATGGAATCAGCATAAATATAATTTTCATGTTTGCTTGATATAGCATTGGAAAACACTGCATGTTGCATAAGTGCGTAACTCATTGTAATAGATAGAATACAGGCACAGTTTTCCCATGGCCATAAAATTGTTGTAGACGGTGTGCTTTATGTGATACAATACCAAAATTAGTAATGTGAAAAATGAAAAGTAACCTGTGTGGATCTGTGCTTTGATTGAACTGCAATTGGATCTGACTTAACCTTCTAACTGCAAATAGACTTGCCTGCACAGATTGCTGGTTTAAATAGTGGAAGTCTCCTAAATCCAAAGCAGCAACAAATATCTCTGTAAATCATATCGGAGCTGATAACAAAGGACTAGATGCAGCTTGTGCGGTATGTTTAGAAGAGATGAACAAATCCCATATTGGGGAAAACTATAAACCAGAACCTTTAATGTGCATTAACCATTCCTTTTAATTGCACAGAGGAGAAATGGCTAAAGTCAGTAGCAGTAAATATACAGACAATTGTTATTCTGATGCCTTAATGGAAAATAAATAAAGCTCTTACCAAATGAGTTCAAGGAAGCTTTTATGCAGCTTGTAATAAAAATAATGAAATGTTTATGTGGAGAAAAATGCTTCAACTGTTTTCTGTCTCAGTAATTAAAATGCTGGCTATGTGTCCCACTGTGGTTTTGTGTAATTACCCTACACTTTTTTGTGTGTAATGTAGGACCTCCATCTGCACCACAGAACCTAATTTTCAATATCAACCAGACTACCGTGAGTTTGGAGTGGAGTCCTCCTGCTGACAATGGGGGAAGAAGTGATGTGACCTACCGCATTTTGTGCAAGAGGTGCAGCTGGGAGCAGGGCGAGTGTGTTCCCTGTGGGAGTAACATTGGATATATGCCCCAGCAAACTGGATTAGTAGATAACTATGTCACTGTCATGGACCTGCTAGCTCATGCTAACTACACGTTTGAAGTTGAAGCTGTGAATGGGGTTTCTGACTTGAGTCGTTCCCAGAGGCTTTTTGCAGCTGTCAGTATTACCACCGGCCAGGCAGGTAAGTTTTCATCACTTATGAATCTCAACACTGTGAGACTGAGAGAAATTTGGAACATGCAAACTACAGATGCAGTAAATCAGGAGCATGTTTGGTGTGTTCTGGCTCATTAATCTTTTCACCTTGCCAAATAGTTAATTTGAGCTTATACTATTTCATGATAACCCGTCCTGATTCTTGGCCTCAGGATTGCTTTCAGAAAGCATTGATGAAAAGACTTAAAGAAGATACACAACTTTGTTATTAGATAGAATTTCCTTAACTCTGTAACTTTCTTTTTGTCTGCTTACTTCATTGTAGGTCATTCCCTAGCATTTAAAGATAAAAAAAGTAGATGTGACAGTCCTACGCAGGCTTCCTTTCTGAATTCTTTAAATACATGTGGGAGTCCTAGGTCACTGGAAGATGATTTGGATATCTGATGGTGTTTTCAGTGTTAATGTTTTCCCTCAGGATAATGTTTCTGATTTATCTTGTATTTCCAGATATTTGATTATGAGATGCAGTGAGAATGTGATGATTATTCTTTGTTTCTTCTATTTATCATAATCTGACAGGTGAAATGTCAGGGAAAATAAAATCAAACTAGCATATCACCCCAGGGGGAAAAATGGGTTTTAGTTGTCTGCAGCTGAATGAAAAAAAAATATGTGATTCAGGTTCCTGAAATGGTGAGTTGCTTGTTGATAAAATTATAGGCAATAGTGTGCTGTGGGCTTTATGAGGGGATAGTAAAACTAACCTTTTATACTTTGGACAAAAGGTCTTAAACTGAACATTATTTGCAAGATCTGGCTTCTGAAGAAATGCCTTAAAAGAAAACATGAAGTGAATAACTGGTGTGATCCTTCCTATAAAAACAGCTAACTAATGTTTTAAAGGATATTACATACTTATATCTTGGAGGAAATTTCAATGACTGTGATCATGGAATTTTTTTTAGTGTGGTAGAAATGATCCCCTACAGTAATACTATGAAAAAAACTTGCTATACAGGGTCAATAAGCTAACAGGAAAAACTGTAGTTATTTTGTACTTTGAAGATGGTCATCTCAGGAAAAAAAAAAAAAGGACAAGAAATTGAGTTCAAAACCTTTCCTCCCTCTCCCCAAAACTAGGACAGTTTATATGGTTGTTAAAGTTAGGCTGGAATATTTATGGGATATTTAATCTCCCCATAGTGCTTTCCTGGATTCCAAATGCACATTTTATATTATTTTGGAACCATCTCTGTGACTGAAAGGATTGGTCTCTGTGCTCATTCAGTTCTTGAAGTTTATGATGGGATTCTGAGCACAGAAAAATTACCCTGAAACTATTTTTGCACCACATATTATATTATTTTGGCACTTCGATTTTTCATCTTTAAAATAATTCTCTGTAATTCTTTAAATGTGTGCAGGTGGACAGTGTACTGCTCTCTGTAGATGACTGTACAAAACTACCATATGAGGAAGAGGATTTGGACTTTTTCCTATTTAGCTAAATCAAATTGGCTTTATGTGCTTTGATGGTTCAGTGGCACACAGAGTAGAGTAAGAAACGGTGCAATCTGGTGGCTAGTATCACATCTCAGCAAGATATAAAAGCCTTAATCACAACTTTGTTGTGTTTTCCCCAAGAATTCATTACAGTTTATTATCTTGTGTTCTCGTAGTCATAGATTTACAGGAGTTTTATTAGGTCAGCAGATATAACATGGTTGTCCTGTGCTATGGTATAAGTAACACAAGCTATACGATTTTATGAAATGATCCTCACACCAAGACCAGAGATGTAAGTGAAACTATAGCCTCTGTATATATTAGAGACAACATCTAGACTTTACCTTAAGATTTCAAGTAATGGAAAAATTCTTCAACCTCCTAGGTAAGTTTTGTAAGAGCATACAGCAGGAAGCAGGAGATCTGACTCTTCCTTCCTTGCTCTCCAGTTTACTGTAGGATTATGCACAGGCAAGCATTTCCCAGGATTTGACACTGTCATTGCTGAGAGAAAGGGTACTCATACAACTGAAGCTTTGTCTGTTCAGCACTTCTGAATATCAGGATTTAAAGGCTTCCAATTGGGCATCTAAAAGGAATATACATAGGAGACAGAGTTTGGAAAAAAAATGGCTTTAAGCTCTTTTTTTTGCAGTTTTCTCTGTCTAAAATTAGGGGTAACCCTCACTTCTCCTTTCCAAGGTCTTAAAGATTTTCTAATTCTACGTGCCACATAAATGCAGCTTTTTTTTTTTTTTTTTTTTTTTTTTTTTTTTTTTTTTTTTTTTTTTTTTTTTTTTTTTTTTTTTTTTTTTTTTTTTTTTTTTTTTTACTGAATTAAAAAATTTGCATTAAAGAAAATACAGGCTTTCAGAACAAATGCAGTTACCAAAAGGAAAGACCTCTTTTACATTATTTTTGCAACAGCATGTTTTGGATCTTAATACTGATTTCTTTGGTTTCTCAAGGAGGAAAATATTTTAGGTGGAACAGATTGATGACTATAATTGAACAGAAAGAGACTGGTTGCTCAAAGGAGACTGTTATGCTTCTGTGCTCCTATTTTATTTTACCGTGGAGAGAAAGAAGTGTTGGATTTATTTATAGCCAAGTAAACTAGGATTCATGCAGCTCTCATTTGTTACTGTGTGACTATTCTATACTTTTGGCAAAATTGACTTTTTCTATGCCCATATTGCTTTTTATGTGTGTAAATGTGTCTAACTAAACCTTCTTCACATGTTATTATGCTAGCACAATAGGTGGCTATATACAATTACTGGGTTCACCAGTTGCACAGAGGATTGCAATGAGATTTTTCCTTTGTAGTTTTGGTTTAATTGAATTGCTCCTTTGTGGCTATAGTCACAGAATTCAAATCATTGTGAAATGATAACAGGATATTATTGATAAAAGAATGGGAATATGGAATATATTCAATGTTTCTTCACCCACATATAACAAGCTTTGATGAGACAAAGAGAGCATGTCACATAAAAGAACCAGGTGGTGAATAAAAGCCTATTTATATTTGTGGAAATAACACAATAAAATGACTGCAAGTGGGTAGGTATCATTCACATTGCTTATATATATGTATTATGACACATTGATATTCATTCCTTGTTTCAAAAGGACTTTGTGACTAGGCTATCAGTTGTCATATGGCATATTTTTTTGCTTCAGCCAAGAACCATGAGGCTTTTGGTTTTGTTTTGTTTTCTGGTTTTTTGACAAGATTAAGTACAGTAAGTCCCCCAGGAGTAAACCATTTTGCTTCATATCTTGCCTATCCAGCACCATATAAAGAACACAGGATGTCATCCCAGTATTGCAAGCTGATCTATGTGAATCCCTGCATCCTTGTAGGATTCAGATTTAAATGTGACTAAGCTTCAGTTACAATAAATGAACGTGCTGAAGAGCTGCACCTGGCAAACAGCTGACAAGCACTACCTTTGCAAGCTTACTGAACATTTGTTTACCAAAGAGAACATTTACCACTTCCATAATAAGAAAGTCACCTTTTGGTTGTACTGGTAGTTCCTTTTGAGCCATCAAATACCTTTCCAAATTTTACATTTTTTTTCCATGCAACACTCAAAAGGTGAATGGAAATTGGATAGGTTTCCCAGCAGGTGAATATTTGTCATATTTCGACATTTATACATTTTCAAATATTTTACAAAATAAGTTTCAATAACAGTTTCATAATTTTTCTATTGACACTTTTGCAAAGATAGTGTGCTTTGAAAACTATATTTCTACATCCTTCCTCTGGAATTTATCTCAGTGGGCAATGGACTAATCTCTGGTAAAGGGTGATATACACCCAACGTACCCCGACTTTGATAAAAATTAAGATATTTTGGACAAATCCCAACATTTATTAGGATTTGAGAAAATTTTAGTATGTGTCCCGAGCAAGTTTTAGTTGGTTTTATAGTTGTTGGGGAAAAAAAAATCATATCTAAGGGAGCACTCATAATGTCTTATTACTGTAACCTAACATGACAAACAGAAGTTAAAATGTAATGACAGTAACTGTTTCTAAACTGCTCTTGTGCAGGGAGCACTTGCTAATGCTTGCTGCTTCTTCACAGCAAGAGAAAGGTGCCCCACAGCACTCTTAGGTCATGCTGTGCCTTCATATGCACTTAATGCTGACAACTTGAAGTGGTTAAAAAACCCTGATTCAGTTCCATAATCAAGGCTTACTCTCTAAAACCATTCTCTTCTAGTGACAATTTGTATATGTTAATTTGCTATTCCATTTTTACATCTGAGAGTTTCGGAACATTTCCTACAAACAACAGATCCCAAAATTCACAGTTAAAAAAAAAAAAAAGGAAACAAATGTTTTCAAAATGGCATTATCCCAGAAACCTGAACTGAGAAAACATTATGTGCTATAAAATCATGACTATTAGCAGCAGCACCATTGATTTACATGACAGGAAGTGGTTTAATGCAAAAATGTAAATGTGTGAGATGAGTTCTGCCTTTCTTAGGTAATTTTGAAGTCTTTCTAAACAAAGGAAATACTTTGCTTTCTCCCACGTGCTACATTCTCCTTTCGTTCTTGCTGCTCATAATTTTTCACTTTTTTCTTTTTCCTTTTTTCCCCAGCTCTCAATTATCCCTGCTCATTTTTTAAAGTCTTCTCTTTCATAGTCTCTGCACTATTGACATCTATTTGTTTCCTGTTCCCTGTCAGTCTCACTTAAACCTGACTTTTCTTCAGCAATGAACTGTCCCCCAGCAGAGGCAGCAATCAAGAAGATTGATGCCTGCGGCTTTCCCAGTCACTATAACCTCAGCATTCTAGTCCTATTCTCACTTCTCTCCTTTCCCCAGGCCATTTTGGCTTCTTCCCATGCTGCCATCAAGTTGTTTTACTCTACCTTCATCTACGTCTTCCATCTAATGTTCACCTCTGGTGATACATGACAGCTTATTACAGAAAGCTTCAGTGGTCAGCTAAACATTTCTTCTATGTTTTCCCATTTCAGTGGA